AACCCCCCCCCCCCTCCCCCCCCCCCCCCCCCCCCCCGAGTGGGATGGGGGAGAGAAATGGGGAAGAAAAAAAAAGAAAAAAGGTAAAACTTGTGGGTTGAGACAAACAGTTTAGTAGAACAGAAAGGAAGAAACTAATAATGATGATGATAATAATAAAATTACAATAATAATAAAAGGACTGGAATATATAAAACAAGTGATGCATAATGCAATTGCTCACCACTTGCTGACTGATGCCCAGTTAGTTCCCAAGCCGCCACCCCCCAGTTTATATACTGGGCATGACGTCACATGGTACAGAACATGCCTTTGGCCAGTTTGGGTCAGCTGTCCTGGCTGTGTCCCCTCCCACCTTCTTGTGCCCCTCCAGCCTTTTTGCTGGCTGGGCATGAGAAGCTGAAAAATCCTTGACTTAGGATAAACACTGCTTAACAACAACTGAAAACATCAGTGTGTCATCAACATTATTCTCATACTGAACCCAGAGCAACACTATACCAGCTACTAGAAAGAAAATTAACTCTATCCCAGCTGAAACCAGGACAGTAACACACCCAAGTCAAATTAATTCCTCCATTCACACCAACATAGGTGTAGTTGCACTAACAAAGAACAGTGGGAAACAGGTAAGAAGAGTTCAGAAATAACCCTTTCACAAACTTGTGATCTTCCTGGGTTTCATCAGAAATCGGAAGAAAAAAAAAAATCAAACAGGCATTTGTTGATTTACATGATCTAGACAAAAAAATGCCAAGAGGTGATATCATTCACCTATTAAAGTACTAAGCCAAATGAGAAATGCCTTTTCGACATTTCATGCACATCCTCTCTAGTCAGTCATCAAGAAAATGACAATTCTCTTCTCAGTACTTTCAAGTTCTTTTTGGCTTTGAATATATAGAAAGGCACTGAATGCATGCCATTGTGTTCAGTAAACTAATGAATGCTTTTTAGCTGTAGGTTGTGAACTCAAATCCCTAGAACAGGAATAGAGTTTCTCAAAAGGATCAGCCTTCAAGTAGTTGGCCAGTATTATACCAATATAGCATACCTTGGGCCAGGTTTGGGAACTTTGCCAGCCTTTAGCTCATCAATTATGTCTTCAATATCTTTGGGTGTCAAATCTTCCTGTAAAAAAAAAAAATTATGGACAAAACAGAAAAAGAATCAGCAATTCTGTTAACTGCAGGATTCAAAATTCATCACATGAGTGGCTCTCTTGGGTGTGATCCTAGCATAGGTAATTTTGATCCTGTCCATAAACACACATACTGGTTTAAAGAATTAGGACAATTAAAAAGCCTACTGTCATTTTAATGTTAAAATTTTTGTTTTACATATGTGTTTTCAGCTTCCTTGATACATTAGTGAGCTGATCTCTGCTGACCCACTATACACATGCCACTGCACATCCTGCAAAACGGTGTCAACTGTGACCAAAAAAAAATTGTGGGTACAGATCAAGACAACAGTTCTCAAAAAATTAATCAGACTGTGATAAAATATTTTAAAAATAAGTTTTTTTTAAAAAGCTGGATTCAGTCAATACATTAATTCCTTTGGTCTATGGCATCCCAAGTAAACTGTAATTCAGAAGTCTAAAAGTTCAAAAATAGTGTTAAACCAGTCCAGGCTTTCCAACAGACTTCTTTAAAGTACTTTTAAAAGCTTATCAAATACCTTTTTACAAATTCCAGATTTAGGGGCAGACCACTGTCACAAAAATGCATCACCCCACTTGTATAAATCAAGACAGTAACTGAAAGGAAAAATACACTGCTACGATGTGATACAGATGGCAGCAAGAGGCCAAGAAACTAAAAGATGCTCTACATTGTAAGTTGTCTCTGCCAATAGGAATTTAAAGTAACTGACCAAAACTTCAGAATCTAAAACAAGTGAAAATACAAGTAACTCAGCAAAGAAGTTTATTCTTTTAAAAGGGAATGTAATACTTACATAGTAATTGTCATTTATTTGTACCATCGGTGCGTTTACACAAGCACCTAAACATTCCACTTCTGTCAGTGTGAAGAGTTTATCAGGTGTTGTTCCCCCAACTTTTATACCTAAACCAATAAATAATACTAGGTTTAGCAATGGTTATTGAACATGATTAATAAAACATGAGTCTAAGTACTCCACAGTCTTCTCATTACTTGTATTTTGGCCTTAAAAACATTTGCATAGTTAAATCCTCTTAAATGAGTCCAAAATGTTTCTATTAAACAAAAGATTCTAATAAACTGTGAAGTCAGTCTTCAGATAGCTTTTGAGACCTCATTTACAGGTATGATTTATTAACAAATAATCATGAAATGACAATTCCAAGAAATGTAACAGCTCTAAGGAACTTTTTTAGTTATCAATAGAATGGAAAAACCGGGAAAAACACAGCTTTCTTGTGCTGATACAAATGTGTTAATATACAGTGGTGAATACTGAATTCCCAAATTAACCAAGATCCAAGCATTAGCAGTTAGCTACAAACTCATAAATGACTTTCAATTTTATACATAAAGGCTTATTTCCTGAACAACTCTGTACACATACTTAGCTCCTATGACACATTATTGTTCTAGTGATACAGATACAGACCTTCCCCAGAGGGCACGTTAGCCAAAATAACATCTTGGACTCTGATCTTCAACAAAATTCTCCATGGAAGGAAGAATGCTGAAAAGCAGTTCTCCTCCATAGTTATTAGAAGGGGGGGGGAAACTAATAAAGTCTAAGTAAGGCCCGTGTCTCAGTAAGAGCTACACAATCATCCTTAATGCTTTTATTTCTCAAGCTAAGAGTTTCAGTTAAATTAAGCTATCTTTGCAGTAACACATGAAGACAAATTTCATCTAAAATTCTTCACTATGAGGATTGGTGAGATACTGGCACAGGTTACCCAGAGAAGTTGTGGATGCCCCATCCCTGGAAGCTTTCAAGGCCAGGCTGGATGGGGCTTGGAGCAACCTGGTCTAGTGGAAGGTGTCCCTGCCCATGGCAGGGGGGTTGGAACTGGATGATCTTTAAGGTCCCTTCCAGCCCAAACCATTCTATGATTCTATCACCTTACTTAAAAAAAAAAGCCTCACAAACAACCTTCATATAGCATATACCTTAAAAATCTTATTTTGCTTACAAAAAAGTGCCATAGCATTCAGAGTCTTCTCATATATATGGGATAGGGCTTAATTTCTCAGTCCAAGAGTCATATTAGAATAATGCATTTCCTGGCAAATTACCTTTAAAACCACTTTTAAGACCACTAAACAGCACTCCAGTCAATGGCCTTTTCTGCTCTACTGTACCGAAATCCTTAAAGAATACAAAATCTGAAATTTGAAGTGCTTAGTACCTATTTGCCAATGATTTCACTCCATATTTTCCATACTATTGCTCTGTCCCCATCATACAAAAAATTTTACTTCAGTATCATTAAACAAAGGTAAAAAAAATGTAAAAAGTATATTACAAATTTGTATCCTACCAAGTTTCTTCTTAATGGCTTCTAAAATACTATCAGAGTCTCGTAGCATGCAAGGTGTGGTAGTGCAGACCTGAATATGGTATTTCCCAACAGGTTTGCGATTATACATTGTATAGAAGGTTGCTACTTCATACACTCTCATGGAAGGCATTTCTAAAATTTCAGCAACCTGGAACAAGGGGAAAGCAGACACTATATTGAATTCTTACAGGGCATCAGTAAAGCCATTTAACAAACCATTTCAGTAAGTAACAGGGAGGGGATGGGTATCAAAGCACAGCTGTTTTCAAATCCCAAGACACCTGAGTTACTCTGATTGGAGTCACCCTTCTTGAGCGCAAACTCCAGTAAGCCATGGATTAGCACAGCAAGGAGTTCAAGTCAATTCCCTTCCAGCATCTAGCATCACACACAAGCTAGATGCAAGAAGTCAGCCGGGTTCCAGCTTTCATTGTCATTTCCAGCTCATATTGCTCTTCTGCTGTATGAATGAATGAACTTCTACACATCTGCCCATACTAACCCACATAAGCCTTTCGGTAAGGGAATACTTATAGGCAGGTACTATGCTCACCTAATTCAGATAAAGCAGGTCTGTCTCAGGTTCTGTGACATACCAGGGCTGGCCTTAGAAATGCCACGGCTACATGTGCAGATTGATGTCACAGCTAGTAAATAGGGAGTGAAGCATGATCTCCATGGAGCCAGTTCCAGTGCAAATATCCCTGACCTCATTAACCTAGAACCCTGGCAAACTGCTCAGGTTGAGAACTGGCTCTGTTTTCAAAAAGGTGACTGTTTTATGTTCCAGTCTCTGTTGCAGGCAAATAACAAACCATGGAAAATATTTGCTCATTTAAAAATCTTAAGATAATTTTAAACATAGTATGAATCTGAAACTTAAAGTAGCCAAAAATACTTTTCTCATTCAGTATTAATGGAGATTTGAGGCTTTATGCTACACTGTACAAAGGCCTTTCTCTAAATGTGCACTTAAATCCTTCAGTAATTTCTGTAACGCTCACAATCCTCACTTAGCATATCTTGATTGAATTTAAAACTTTTCACTTTAAAACTGATGATATGACAGATTGTAACACAAAATATGTTAGATTTATTCATATGTATATAAACCAGAATTTTTTATTTCTTGGTATTTGATTACTGTCATGCAACCTATCACTTTGGAGCAGCGTAGTTGCTTACTTGCTTGTTTTGAAATAATTTTAATAAATAACTTGATAAGTCTACCGAGCATTTGCTATAAGGCATTAACTGCTCTGCAGAAGTCTTTACAGGCCTAAAGATTAGGTACAACACTGGGAATATGTGTAGTACCACTAGTCTGGGAGGAGAAAAACCCCACCATCGTCGTTTCTTCTTTCCCCAAATTCAGCAGTGAACAAAATCTTTCAAGTTTCTGTTCCTACTTCCAGGATGATTCTGGGAAAAGAGCCTATCTAAATAAGGCTCATATTATTTTTGTTTTTTTCTGTTTGTAAATGGGCTAACATTACGTAGACAATGGAGCCTTGAGTTTTCTGCATTAGTTTTCCCTTTTATTTTTTAAAATGTAGTCTCAAAGGGAATTCTCGCAATTCTGTGCCACATGTAACTTCCCACGTTAGTACGCTTTGATAAATAAATGCTAATATTCTAGTAAGATATTTAAAGAAAACCATAATAAGATAATTAAGTACTAAATACCTTGTTCATAGCTGATATGGGCAACCATCCATGCTGTCTTTGGGCCAAATCTAGTACTGCCATGACAGCTGCAGACTTGTGTCCCCCTGGGTAGTTGTTTATGATTGCTTCTATTCGCTTTTTAAAGGGAAAAGGGGGGGAAAAAAGTATCAGTGTTGATCTAAAGACAAAGTCTGTGTATTCAACTTTTTTTGTCCGCATACCTTTTGGTTTTCAGGTGTGAACTCAAATGGGGTGTCTGGATTATTTTCAGGACTATCTCTGTGCTTCAGGAAAAGAAAAAGGAAACATGTAAAAATAGGGCTGTCAGGAGATTATTCAGGACAGATTTACTGTTATAAAACATCTTCTCATTAGACAGTAACAGCTGAGTTGCTTGAATAAAACTGATATATTCCAGATAAAAATTTCATAGTAGTCAAATGATTAAATATGTCTGGGAATGTTATAAAAAATATTGGTAATTATTTCGTCACTCTTAAAAATAATTACTTATTCCTGTTATTTCCTATTAAAAACATTTCTTGAGGAATATGGTGTTATGAAATTTTTATTTTTTTTTAACACTGTTAATACAGTTTAGCAATTATGTTCAAACTCATCACAGTCCTCTGGTTAATACCTTAATAAACAACACAGGACTTAAATAGCAGCCCATTTTTTTTCTTTCACCATGAGACATTAACTGTAAAAACCTCAAAATTCATCAAGAAGCTTGCTATACAACTAAAACATTTGCACATTGAAACACACATTAATCCATTTTAATATATTCTTTTGATTTGTAATGGATTTCAACATTTTAATTTTAGATACAACTCTGAATCAGAATGGAAGAAGCAGAATTTTGAATTAATATTTCCAAAATAAGGTATTCTATTATATTATTTTTAAGGTGGTCTTCTAGGGAAACATCGAATTGAAATTAGTTCTTCTATTTTCAGAAAATATAAATTTAGAAGTCTTGAAGAAAGTGACATTTTCCTATAATAAAATCTTTAGTTCTGATGAAAATCCTTATCCACCAGAAAAACTTCCTGCCCAAAATTTTCAGTTACCTCTAAGCAGCTCATTATGGTATCCTTGAAACACTCATAGCTAAGTTTCATTCCAAACTTTATACAGTTTTCAAATTGAGAAAGTTTCAAATTAAATGGAAAGTTTGGGGGAAAATGCAAGCTATACTTGAGGCTTGATTTTAAAAGTAATCTACAACCAGCTAATGATAAAAGCTTTAAAAATATATTTAGGAGAAAGAAATCCACTCCACTGGCTTTCACTTTGATCATTGTCTCAAGTAATCTAGGGTGATTTTGTAGTTTCCACACTGTGTTCATATTAAGCAGTGACGGATTTAATGAAAAATCTTAACATTGCAAGATACTTGCATACTGAAAGACTGTCATCAGTGCAGAACTTAAAATATGTATGGTCCATAGCTATTCCTGGATTTAGAAATTAATATGGAAATATTGAAAAGCCAAAACTTAAATTATATCTGTTAGTCTAATGAGAGATTCCCTTTGCTTATCCTGTCTATATCCTAGAGCAGACAGTACTACTGCTCCCATCAATCTGAGAGCTTGTACCCCTACCAGAGTTCCAAGTCAAATATAAAACTACAGTCAATATATACTTCTCCACTAAGAACGACTTTCCCCTAATAAAAGGCATTGCAGAAAGATAATATCCTTTGAACACACTAATATTTTATTACATGTGAATTTATTGCTTATTGTGTGGTCTACAAGGTAACATAAAACAGCTTTTAGGAACACAATTGCCACTATTTTAGACTGACCCTTCCAGATACAGGATTTGACTCCTCATATGTAGCGTTGCTGAGGGTTTTCTACCAATTTTAAGGAAAGTTCTCAAAAAGAGGCTGATGGAGGAAAAACTAATTGGGAATACCATGCAACTTTTCTCTTTTTTCCCTTACAGACCTGTTCTATGTCTTAGCTGCACAAATCAAATCCATGATAAGTACTTCCATAACTTAACTTTTCCCTCTCAAATTTGCATACCCATTTTATTTCAGTCTGCTATTTTGCCTTCCATAGATATTTGATAGTTACAGTTGTACTTCATCTCAATTTCTTTTGCAAGTAAGTATATTTGATTTATTAAAATCTCCTCCTTTGTCTACAACAGCTCTTCTTTTCAGTGTATCATCTCTAAACTGGTATCCTTAAATACCCTACATGTGAGGAGGAATAATAAAGACTTTATATCTGAAGCTAGTTTGCCACATAGTCAGCTCTGTGCAGCAAGGCCCCAAAATATGTTTTAAAGGCTACAACACAGGTGAATACTAAATAAGATCATGTCACCTTTTTTTTGTTTTCCATTTTCCTAAATGAACTTCATCTCATTCTGTGCTGTGGAGAGTTTGATAGTTTTCATCAGTAGCTAACAGAGTTCTAAGTCTACTGAGCTGTTAGGAATTTGTCAGTCACATGTTCCCTAGTATTCCATTTGTCTGATGACGCACCATTTATCTGAGACTTGCATGAGCTGATTTGCTCCTAAATGATATCGGTGCATTTCTGCCTTTTCTTAGGACACAGATTCTGGAGAACAAGATCAGAATTAAGGACACGGTATTGGAAGGAATACTATGTTAAATCACTGAGTGGTTGAGGTTGGAAGGGACCTCTGGAGGTCATCTGGCCCAACCCCCCCTGCTCAAGCAAAGCCACCCAGAGCTGGTTGCCCAGGACCATGTCCAGACAGCTTCTTCTGAATAACTCCAAGGTGGGAGACTCCACAACCTCCCTGGGCAACCTGTGCCAGTGCTTGGTCACCCTCACAGTAAAAAAGTGTTGCCTGATGTTCTCTGAGGCCATTGTCTCTGGTTCTGTCACAGGGCACCACTAAAAAGAGCCTGGCTCCATCTTCTTTGCACCCTCCCTTCAGGTATTTATAGGCATTGGTAAGATCCCTCCTCCCCCAGTCTTCACTAACAGTCCCAGCTCTCTCAACCCTTCCTCATATAACAGATGCTCATAAAAAGAAACTGATACATTAAGGCTTCCTCTATACACAAACTAAGTACAATTATGTCTGTACCAACTACAGCAATTTGTAGAAAAGCAAGGTCAAATTCTAGCCATGCTTTTTTTCCCAATTCCCTTCTTGTGCTCCCCAATTTCCTGAAGTCTTACACAGTATGTTTTCATTCTACACATAGCTTGACTGTATCACATTTCTATTGCAGCATTCAGCCTAACCTATTTAAAGTGTGAACAATTGCACTGTGAAGGCCTACCAAAGCCACACTGCCCGCAAAGATGATGGTATTCTCTCATGGAAGGTACTAAGGCTGCTGAATGTTCATCTCATTCTTTTTGCTACATCAACCTGGGCCATTTTATTATTCTTTTTCAGTGATTTAATCATCTGTCTTTCTTGACAGAGAGAATTATTAAAGAGCACTGAAGAATTACAGTAGAATAACTAGAATAATTGAGCTTTCATGTATACTGCGAAAAAGTCGGCCTGAAACTTGACCTATGCCTGTTTGCCTGTGGTAAACATTAGTCCAAAACACTGTAAACCAAAATGAGAGAACTGTGTGGTATGCAGGGGAATAGATGTTTAGGGCAACAACCTGTTAAAAGTCCCAATCAAATCAGCAACTGAAAGAAATTTATTACTTCCCCTCCAAGAGTAAAGTACCCTACATTCACTATTCCAGCAAAACTCAAGATATAAACCTTCTTAAGTTAAGAATGGTAGAAGTGCTCTCAGACCCAAGTATTTCACTGACCATCTTCACAAGTAACTAAAACTATAATATAGCAATTATCTAACCTTCTGTACTGAAGCCTGTGCAGCCCTATGACAAAGCCCACATCAGGGCAGTCGATGTGTTAAGGAAACTCGGTCCCTGTGTTGAAAACCACAAAGTAGAACAGTTAAGTTTTAGCTGTTAAGGAGGCTAAAGACAGATAAAAGTTAAAAATAGAGAAGGCATGTTTAAGAAATAAAGGTAACTATTGTAAATAAAAGTATCTTTGAAATCAGGCCTTCCCTAGCCATCAGAAACATGATATATTTGGAACAGCTCTCTTAGGTTACAACGGGCAAACAATCTACCTAGTTTTAAACTTGATACACTCTTCTGGGCGTGATGGCACCAGAATGAGTTTAATTGTTGGGAAAGTCTCTTCGCTGTTTCAGAATAAAAAGGAGTTTCAGTAGAAGTTTTTTTATTTCTGTATGTTTCTGATAACATGTAAAGAAAAAACTTGCATGAAAAAAGTTTGCAAAGGGATACAAGGGCGTGCAAATCAGCACTGCCTTTTAATACTAGATTTTAAGACTACCAGGTCCTCTGCCAGCATGTCCCCTGCTGTTACAAAACAAATATGCTGTATGCATTTTTCTTCCTCACCTACAGATTTCCTATACGGAATGTGCAACAAGAAGCACCAATATGCTTTGCAAAACAAAACCAAGACACTCATGTAAACTGACATACAAAGAGAACCACCACAACAGGTTAGAGTTACTCCTGGGTAAGCATACTACTCCTCCACAAGCAGTTTTAAACAACCTTTGACACTTCATCTGCTTGTAGTAGTCCAGAAAACTAAAACTTTTTCTAATGTGTTTTCCCTACAGAAATCTGGGGAAAAAAGTGCCCCATTTTTTGACTGTATACAAACACTTAGTGTTGGTTACAATAATGCCTTCAGCTCAACTCAGCAGGAAGATTTACCCCGGAAATTTGCTGTGTTAAATAACATCTGAAATTTGCTCTGAAGGTTTTTACTTATATTTAGGGCAAACAATTACATGCACACACAGTGACATCCAACTATCTTCTTCCCATAGCCTTTTACTTCACGGAAGAATATTACCCTATTAAAAAAAAAACCATAAAATAACCCCCCACACAAACAATTTCCTATGCTCTACTAGCAAAAATTCTGTTGTGGAATAAAAATAAAAGGAGTGAATGATGCTATTAAATAAGAGAGCTGAATATCACAAGTAGCTAAAACACACACTTTCTTTCTACTTCCCTTTCTCTATTTTCAGGCTCCTCCCTCCAGCAAATAATTTAAGCAGTTACATAAATCTTGAAAAATGCCTGGAGAATTTAGAAGGCTATCTAGCTTCATATGCCAGACACCAATATCCATTAGGGTGCCAACACCACCTTTTGCCTGTTTTCATTAACCTCAACTACACTTGAAGTTTCCTAAGTTGTTGGCCTACACCACTTCCTCTATTCGTTGAATACTAGCTCTCACTCCATAAATCATCAATGCCTGTTCAGTTTTCTGGAAAGTATACAAAGCATGTACTGTAATCCCATTAACTTCATCTTATGAGAAAAGCTGTAGACAGCTGCAGAAAGGCAACAACAGCAACACAAAAAAATCTGTCTAAAAATGCTGAGCACCTGCTTCCAATGCAGTGGTCAATTCTCTAGTGAAGTGCTGATTTCTACTACATGCTGGAAAAATGCAAAATTATTCAGCTGTTGAATTGCAGACTAGATAAAGCTCTGAATGGAGCAGAATGGGACAGAATACACCTCTGAGATGCTTCAGGTTCTCTTTAGAGGCAGACAGAAAACACATCTGCTTTACACATCTAAATTTGAGGGTTGGGGTTTGGGGTTTTTTTGCAATCACTATTGCTATTTATACATATTATGATAACGCCTAATGGCCTCAATTATAAATCATTATGCAACATGCTGTATGACATATAATATGAACAAGCACTACACTTTTCATATGCTAGTGAACAGGGCTAGACCTGGATGTAAGGGTAATTCTGTCGCAAATTTTAGAAATCAAGAAATTGCACCTGCAAAAAGTTTCATGGGCTAAAACTACAAACTCAATTAACTTCAATAAAAAAAGAAAACAAGAACTGTTTTATAATGAAATAAGTTTAAACAATGTCTTATCTTCAATCACACACAAATGCTGCTAATATCACCATTACTATTAATAAACAAGAGTCTTCACTGTGTAAGAAACACAAGGCCAAAAAACTAAAATAAAACCTTTTGATACTCTATCACTGCTCTAATAAGATGTTCCACTGAAAAAATGCTTTTTTGTAAATTCCAGCAGGCTTCTAGAGCAAGCTCTGCCCATCAGAATCTTTTAGGCAGATTAAAAAAAAGTGTATGCCAAACTCTTGTTACACATCCCCCTTCCGGTAAGGTAGAAAATTACTTACCACAAATAAGGTTCCTCCACTGGCATTGCACACTGCTGTTCTATGTAAGTATCGAATTTGTCTTATCTACAAACAAAAAGTAGATAGTATTAATAGTTAATAATTTACATAACTGCTAAAGACTGCTTTCAGAACCAGCTTGATTTCTACTCTAATTGTAAGCCATTAATTCTAATGTCATCACTAATAATTTGAATTAAGTCAAGAGAAGAATATTAAGGGCTCTCATGTACTAGTACAAGAGCACATCTCTTAACTCATCTTGATCTTTTCAGACAGTGTAGAAGTTAAAGGAGTTAACTTCAGAGAGATACTCTGCCACAGTTTAACTGCCTTGAATACAAATTCTCATCAAATATTTAATGAAGAATTTTCCAATTTGTTACTTTATAGCACATCCTTTAAAAAGTCTGCAGAAAGTACCGTTATTGAGGTTCTTCTCTAGTAAGCATTTACAAGCTTCTTCAGATTTTATCTAACTGAACAGTGAGATCAGGCATAAGAGAAAACAGGCATGAGGTCAGATCTGAAATCGAAGCCCAGGTACCAGTGAACTACAGCAACCTAATCAGCTCAATCTTTTCAGCAGCAGATCACGTAGCTTCACCTGCAGCGTAGTTTCATATGATGGCTGCAGTCTTTCCCCGTGATATGATCAGCCCTTCCAGGAAGGGCTGGATTTTCTATGCAGTTATGTGTATTATGTTGTATGCACGTACTTCCTCTTTGCTCTCCGCTTCTGGCTCATCTGAAAGCAGCAGCCAGGAAAGCAATTTATCTCCTGCCATTCTTTGTCAGAGGCCAAAATGAACTGTGGGATACATGAACAACTCTGTGGATTGCAGATCATTCCTGTGTGCCACCCCTTCCAGGGGACCCTCGGCCTGTTGACCTTATCAACTAACACGAAGCACATCAAATGAACTGCACCAGCATGCCAATTTGAGTGTCCTCTGTGAACCAGACAACATGTAAAATTCAGACAAAAGACTAAAAAGTGTAAGTAGAGCATGCAAATACAGCTGAAATTCTGTAGACAATGCTGAAAGGGGCATATAAGTAAGAATTTGATGCTCTGGTACAAGACCTACTAAATGCTAAGTAAACAGAACACATGCAGTTTTGGCTGTGAAGGGACCACCACCACATTGTAAGCCTCAGGTTTGTAGCTGTAAGAGGCAGTCTCCTACCAAGAGTAGCACTTCAGAAGAAAATCCTTTATTCTATCGAAAGATGCTGTACTGTTTCCAAGAACCAGAATCTGTAATTTCAGACTTCGAGAACTAGGACAAGACCCCATTTTTTGCACTGGCCTAAAGGATTTCAATTGGTGTGAAAAACAATCGGACTGAAAAACAAACTTAAGGGTTTTCCTTCCAATGGTTAATCTTACATACACGGGCAAGACAGAAACACTATTTCCACTTGTGAAGCTTCCCAGTAACCCGCAGTAAGCACCAAGCAGTTACTGCTAGAGCCTTTTTCACTTGAGGCAAGCAGTGCAACTCTAGAGCCGGTCAGGCAAGTCCGGCAGGCCCCGGGGCCGCGAGGGAGACAGCCCGTCCACCGGCCGCGCCGGGCTTTCTTCCCCGAAGCCGGGCCCCGCCACGGGGCCCCGCTGCCCGCCCACCCCCTCCCCG